TATGAAATTTTTACTTAAAATTGAAAAGGATCCAACTGTGTAAATGAAATTCCCATGGTGGTCACATCTATTAGTCTCCCACCTTACTAAGCTAAACCTATTTCATATTTGTGTATTTAAGCAAGAAGGAACAGTTCGAAGCGTTGAGTGAGTGCGATACGCAACAATGGCGGAGAGCGCGAAAATGGTGGACCTTCAACTCACCTTAAAGCCTTTCTATAAGAGAGCCGCAGAAGCAGAGGTCACTCACTATTCATTTTCTCATCTTATCGCTCTCTTTCATTCCTTCTTTGTTTGAAAACCTATCATTCCTATTTGCGATTGAAAATCCGTTACTCGAGCCCTTCGCGTTTTCGTTTAGTGTTGAAGCAAAATCAAACTCGTATTCGTTGGTACGAAGAATCCAATTGTTTGATAAGTTTTGGAAGAAATCAGTTGAGTTAAAGATAATACTGTAGCAGCGCATGAAGTGGAGTGAAACTCCGTTTTGCTTACTGAAACGTGTACATTTTGATTAGTTTAGTTTGTTCGCTGTTTTCATCTCGAAGCATGAAAGCATTTACTTGTTTAGTTTTTTCTTTCTTTCTTATCGTCAAATTAGTGATTAGTAATTTACCCGACATGTTATCTTGTTTTTTATATTTTATAGTGATAGTAGGGTCGAAAGTTATTGTCGTATTTACTTTGTAGAACAGAAATGTGTGAATGTTGTAAACAGGGTGCAGTTTTCACATTTGTGCCTCTCTTATGACATTTTGAAAGTAATTTTCTTAGCGGGTGTCAATAAAACAACAAATCTTATTAGAATACCATAGTAAGAAATGGACTAATATGTCCAATAAAACAACAAATCTTGTTAGAATACTATAGTAAGAAATGCTTTAAGTCTAACTCACCTCACAAAATAACTTGTAAGATAAGATTTGTATTATAAATTAGTCTTATTTCTATTTGTTGTGAGACTTCTAACATGATTCCATGAATTTCCATTTCCAGTAACAAGTTGAGACATACCACACGGCTTTAGGTGATTAATTAGTTCATTGGTTGAATGTAAGAGATCTAACAGATGTATAAGTAGCATTTGTAGGCATATTTGAAAAGAACTCGGATAATCAATTCAAGATTCACTTCAAAACTATCTCTATATGAATATTACTCAACTCTTCGTTTTTGTTTGGTTGGTTTCTCCCTTGACTAACCCGGCATCACAAATTTGCATCCCTGGAATTTACTTGTAAATTCGGGAGCTGTACCATTTGTGTAGCTTATTTTCTAAAACAGTCATATCTTAGCTTCTTGAGAGAACAACAAAAAAGGCGATTCTGGGTTTATTGTACGTCTTACTGCTTGAAACACTAGTGCAGTAGAGCTGGTTTTTCTATTCTGGTTCCATAGCTAAAGAAAACTTTTAGCCTGTCTTTTCGATTAATGGAAAGAAATGATGACATCCATGCTATTTTCAAGCTTCAGATTTTAACATTGGTCCAACTCAATCCTCAAACCCCTTAGTATTCCATACTGTTTTGCAACAGAGAGGGCCTCCTATTTGGCACTAATATCTTGGTTTCTAACTCATAACCCATAACACGTAGAGATGTCCGCCTAGAATAAGTATTTCCAAGATATTCCCAAATTTCACTGGCATTATAGTTAAGGATCCCTATAGCCATGTAATACTCTGCAAGTCATCATCGTTCCAAATTCAGAAATTTGTTAGATCTTAGGGTGTGACCTCCCTTTCAATATGGTTGAGTCTATCCATACCCTTCAATGTGCGTCTAATAAATTGAGCGCACTAGAGATAATTTTGACCTTTAAGAGGGCTATCATTAGGCGAATGTGAAAGATCAACATTGCTAAGTAGAGTTGCCATATCAAATGAAGAGATTCCTTATGCCTTTTGTTTTCACGTAGAAAGTAGTGAATATGCCCCTTTTTAAAGGAGAGATATGCAACCCGAGGTTAAAGTGCTGAACAGGGGCATGTTTGGAACTGCTACCTCAAGTTTGCTCTGACGAAGTAAGCGGTGGCAAGAATGGCAATCAAACAAGCTGTCACACACCGAAAATGGGTGGCTCGTGAGCTCCATGCACAAAGAAGGGGCAGTGTGTGGGTGCATGGCTGTTCCGATGGTGGTGCAACTCCAGCAGTTGCGAAATTGGAGGATGACGACCCTCCTAATGTGCTTGCTTTTTAGGTTGGCGGCTCCAGCACCAATGATGGTGGTGGTGATGATGGTGATAGTGATAGTGGTTTTTAAATTTGGGTGCATTTCAAGCAACCCAAATAAATAAAGGAAAGGAGTGTGCTTTAGGCAACCCCTAAAAATGAAAAAAGTAGCTAATATGACAACAGGAAAAATGCGGAAACATAGCTCCAGATGATCTGGAGCATTGATACCAACTTATGAGAGAAAAGTTCTTATTGAATTAAATTAATGAAACAATACATAAGCATCCATATACAGAGATCTTTGTCGCTAATAATTTCAAAGAGATCTCTAGCATGTTACAGGAGGACACTTGTAATGATTACAATATCCTCTTGTAACTTAACAAAATATTTTCTCCTGACTCAACAATTCCACTAGGACTGCTCTCCTTCGCTTTAAAATAAGAGTACAATAATGGTTTTTCTTTTCGTTTTAAAATTATGATTTAACTAATAATTATTATATTTTGCATGCTCCTCCTTTTGGCTTAGCTTTTGCAATAACTACACTGATCTCTCAACACATTTTTCTAGGCATGTAGATATGCAACTAATTTATTTTCTTTGTTTTTAATTTTGGAAAATGATTTTGTCACATTTTTAATCGTGATGTTCTTATCCAAACCAAGTCAAGCCTTTCATGAAATCTTAGTTTCATTATCCTCAACGTATTTTAGTTTCTGGAACATATTTTTACTGCCAAGTTGCTGCAAAATGTTGTCATTGTTGTAGAAAGCTGACAGAAACACGAACAAAATTTCTTGAGGCGTGTAGAGATTTACTGTCCTTAAGGACTTATCTACGGTGTATTGCGTAAGGTCCCAGGATACAACAGGAACTTCCCAAAATATTTCTGAGGATCTTAGAACTAGCAAGGATCTCTAAAAAAGTATAAAATAACCCAAAATATTTTTAGAAGAGGAAAAGAAGAAAAGAGAATGAGAGAATATTGCTTTTGGTTTGTCTTGGAATGGAGGAAGAACTCTCTATTTATAGAGCTAGGGGAGAATAAAATCAATAAAAGACAATAAAAGAAATAAATAATTTGACCGTTGTAGCACTTAAAAATTTGATTGTTGCTAATTAATAAAAATATTAACATTGCCAATTAATAAAAGAATATTAGCATTGTAAAACGTTCAAATAGCATTGTAAAACGTTCAAACACCAACATTTAACTTTTGCAATATTACAACAATCCCCCACATATTGCAAAAGAGAGTTGAAAGAAAAGATAAGAAACTTTTATTCTGCGTCTCAAAGGATGTAATGCATCAGAGCTGGTATAGTAAGTTATATGAACCAGTCTTAGATTGAGATACTTAACACAGAGTGTAGTTGGTATAGCAAACTATATGAACTAAAGACAATTGACGTGTGTTAGAGGTTTATCAATCACAATACACCCCCACAATCCTTGCTATTATCGCTGTGTTGCGCTTACTAGGCCATGCGCGTGCCCGATATTCATGAGTGCTTTAGAGGTCATGCCAAGATCTCATGCAAGCGGCCCCACTCGACACTCATATAGGTTATTTCATCAAGTGTATGCTGCAAATCATACACCACCCATGAGGGATATGAAAATCATTAAAAACTTTGTTTAAGCTAAAATTCTTTCACTACATAGAATTTTAATGACAAAGTTTAGCCTCTCAATAATGTAGTCTTTTATCACTTTCACACACACACTATAGGAAGGGACATAATTGATTAAAATCAATTTAGTGGTATCAGAACTAACAGGTTACTTGTTTTAACCCAAATGAACCTTATTCATGGATCTCCAATCACATAGGTTGGGTTACCATCACTTGTTTGTTTGCAAGTGGCTTAAGTCTCATTCTCCTCGATGATTCTAATATCATTAATCTTCCTAGGTTTTTTGTCAGAGGATCTGCTAGATTCCATTATGACTTCACATAATTAATGGAAATGGTTCCACTCTTTAGCAGCTGCTTCACCAAATTGTGTCTCAATTGTATATGTATATTCTTTCCATTGTAATTCTTGTTTTTAGATATAGCTATTGCCGATTGGCAATCACAGTGTATTGATACCGATGTGGTTGGTTTCATTCCTAGTAGAATGTTAGCTAAAAAGTTTTTCAACCACTCAACCTCATTACCAGCCTTCTCAAGAGCAACAAACTCAGATTTCATTGTTGATCTTGCAATAATTGTTTGCCTGGCTGACCTCCATGTAATCGCACCACCCCCAAGTGTGATTACATAACCACTAGTGGATTTTGCCTCATCTGAATCAGAGATCTAGTTAGCATCACTGTACCCTTCTAGTACAGCGGGAAATCCACTGTATTCAATGGCATAATCCATTGTTCCATTGTTCCTGTTTTGGACATTGAGTGTATCTACTCAGTCTACCTACTGCATAAGCAATATCAGGTTTAGAAAAGTTCACCAAGTGTAGTAAGCTCCCAATTATCTGGACATACTAAGGCTGAGATATAGATTCTCCTTTATTTATTTATTTTATTAATTTAGAATTGTCATCAAAAAGGGTACTCAGTGGTTTGAGTCATAAAACCTAAACTTCTTAAGAAGTTTCTCAATATATTGTTCTTGGGATAGTAATATACTATCTTCCTTCCTTATGATTCTAATACCTAACATCACATTAGTTTCACCTATGTCTTTCATTTCAAAATTTGATCTAAAAACCTTGATTTTTAAATATTATCTTATTGCATGTGACAATCATTAACATGTCGTTCATATATAAATATATAACGACATATTCTCTACTTCCAGATTTAGAGTAACATCATTAGGTGAAAAGCCAAATTTATTTCTTCAAGTAATTAAGTAAAATTACCTACACCCCCACAATTTTAAAATATTTAAGATTGGTAAACGAGAAAATATTTGGTTGTGCTTTTCTCTTTGTAGGTAAAGTATACGAAAATTTACTCAAGTACCTCATCTTCTTGTTTCTTTTCCTTTCTTTGGAGAGAAAATCTTTTCCACCTTTCCTCAAACATTAGAAAGGCATGACACATGAAAATTAGAGTTCATCATCCTAACTCCAATGAACTCTAAGTTGTCACCTCGTCTCCCTCTTCTTCATCCTCATCCGCGGTTCCTACAAATGCGATCAAAAGCCACCGTTGCTGTGAGCACCTTGCCAGCCTTTGAAAGTTCTATCCAGAGAAAACCTCGACTTTTGACATGTTCGGAAAGGGTTTCGCGAAGACTGTCTAAGTTTCGGAAACAATATTTTGATCCTCCGGGATTGAGTTGTTGATGTTAGCCTTAAGTCCTTAAGANAAATATTTTCTCCTGACTCAACAATTCCACTAGGACTGCTCTCCTTCGCTTTAAAATAAGAGTACAATAATGGTTTTTCTTTTCGTTTTAAAATTATGATTTAACTAATAATTATTATATTTTGCATGCTCCTCCTTATGGCTTAGCTTTTACAATAACTACACTGATCTCTCAACACATTTTTATAGGCATGTAGATATGCAACTAATTTATTTTCTTTGTTTTTAATTTTGGAAAATGATTTTGTCACATTTTTAATCGTGATGTTCTTATCCAAACCAAGTCAAGCCTTTCATGAAATCTTAGTTTCATTATCCTCAACGTATTTTAGTTTCTGGAACATATTTTTACTGCCAAGTTGCTGCAAAATGTTGTCATTGTTGTAGAAAGCTGACAGAAACACGAACAAAATTTCTTGAGGCGTGTAGAGATTTACTGTCCTTAAGGACTTATCTACGGTGTATTGCGTAAGGTCCCAGGATACAACAGGAACTTCCCAAAATATTTCTGAGGATCTTAGAACTAGCAAGGATCTCTAAAAAAGTATAAAATAACCCAAAATATTTTTAGAAGAGGAAAAGAAGAAAAGAGAATGAGAGAATATTGCTTTTGGTTTGTCTTGGAATGGAGGAAGAACTCTCTATTTATAGAGCTAGGGGAGAATAAAATCAATAAAAGACAATAAAAGAAATAAATAATTTGACCGTTGTAGCACTTAAAAATTTGATTGTTGCTAATTAATAAAAATATTAACATTGCCAATTAATAAAAGAATATTAGCATTGTAAAACGTTCAAATAGCATTGTAAAACGTTCAAACACCAACATTTAACTTTTGCAATATTACAACAATCCCCCACATATTGCAAAAGAGAGTTGAAAGAAAAGATAAGAAACTTTTATTCTGCGTCTCAAAGGATGTAATGCATCAGAGCTGGTATAGTAAGTTATATGAACCAGTCTTAGATTGAGATACTTAACACAGAGTGTAGTTGGTATAGCAAACTATATGAACTAAAGACAATTGACGTGTGTTAGAGGTTTATAAATCACAATACACCCCCACAATCCTTGCTATTATCGCTGTGTTGCGCTTACTAGGCCATGCGCGTGCCCGATATTCATGAGTGCTTTAGAGATCATGCCAAGATCTCATGCAAGCGGCCCCACTCGACACTCATATAGGTTATTTCATCAAGTGTATGCTGCAAATCATACACCACCCATGAGGGATATGAAAATCATTAAAAACTTTGTTTAAGCTAAAATTCTTTCACTACATAGAATTTTAATGACAAAGTTTAGCCTCTCAATAATGTAGTCTTTTATCACTTTCACACACACACTATAGGAAGGGACATAATTGATTAAAATCAATTTAGTGGTATCAGAACTAACAGGTTACTTGTTTTAACCCAAATGAACCTTATTCATGGATCTCCAATCACATAGGTTGGGTTACCATCACTTGTTTGTTTGCAAGTGGCTTAAGTCTCATTCTCCTCGATGATTCTAATATCATTAATCTTCCTAGGTTTTTTGTCAGAGGATCTGCTAGATTCCATTATGACTTCACATAATTAATGGAAATGGTTCCACTCTTTAGCAGCTGCTTCACCAAATTGTGTCTCAATTGTATATGTATATTCTTTCCATTGTAATTCTTGTTTTTAGATATAGCTATTGCCGATTGGCAATCACAGTGTATTGATACCGATGTGGTTGGTTTCATTCCTAGTAGAATGTTAGCTAAAAAGTTTTTCAACCACTCAACCTCATTACCAGCCTTCTCAAGAGCAACAAACTCAGATTTCATTGTTGATCTTGCAATAATTGTTTGCCTGGCTGACCTCCATGTAATCGCACCACCCCCAAGTGTGATTACATAACCACTAGTGGATTTTGCCTCATCTGAATCAGAGATCTAGTTAGCATCACTGTACCCTTCTAGTACAGCGGGAAATCCACTGTATTCAATGGCATAATCCATTGTTCCATTGTTCCTGTTTTGGACATTGAGTGTATCTACTCAGTCTACCTACTGCATAAGCAATATCAGGTTTAGAAAAGTTCACCAAGTGTAGTAAGCTCCCAATTATCTGGACATACTAAGGCTGAGATATAGATTCTCCTTTATTTATTTATTTTATTAATTTAGAATTGTCATCAAAAAGGGTACTCAGTGGTTTGAGTCATAAAACCTAAACTTCTTAAGAAGTTTCTCAATATATTGTTCTTGGGATAGTAATATACTATCTTCCTTCCTTATGATTCTAATACCTAACATCACATTAGTTTCACCTATGTCTTTCATTTCAAAATTTGATCTAAAAACCTTGATTTTTAAATATTATCTTATTGCATGTGACAATCATTAACATGTCGTTCATATATAAATATATAACGACATATTCTCTACTTCCAGATTTAGAGTAACATCATTAGGTGAAAAGCCAAATTTATTTCTTCAAGTAATTAAGTAAAATTACCTACACCCCCACAATTTTAAAATATTTAAGATTGGTAAACGAGAAAATATTTGGTTGTGCTTTTCTCTTTGTAGGTAAAGTATACGAAAATTTACTCAAGTACCTCATCTTCTTGTTTCTTTTCCTTTCTTTGGAGAGAAAATCTTTTCCACCTTTCCTCAAACATTAGAAAGGCATGACACATGAAAATTAGAGTTCATCATCCTAACTCCAATGAACTCTAAGTTGTCACCTCGTCTCCCTCTTCTTCATCCTCATCCGCGGTTCCTACAAATGCGATCAAAAGCCACCGTTGCTGTGAGCACCTTGCCAGCCTTTGAAAGTTCTATCCAGAGAAAACCTCGACTTTTGACATGTTCGGAAAGGGTTTCGCGAAGACTGTCTAAGTTTCGGAAACAATATTTTGATCCTCCGGGATTGAGTTGTTGATGTTAGCCTTAAGTCCTTAAGATTGTTGTAAAAAGCTGACAGAAACACGAACAAAATTTCCTAAGGCGTGTAGATTCACTATCCTTAAGGACTTATCCGCGGTGTATTGCGCAAGCTCCCCAGGATACAATAGGAACTTCCCAGAATATTTCTGAGGATCTTAGAACTAGCAAGGATCTCTAAAAAGAGTATAAAATAACCCAAAATATTTTTAGAAGAGGAAAGGAAGAAAAGAGGATGAGAGAAGATTGCTTTTGGTTTGTCTTGGAATGGAGGAAGAACTCTCTATTTATAGAGCTAGGGGAGAATAAAATCAATAAAAGACAATAAAAGCAATAAATAATTTGACAGTTGCAGCACTTAAAAATTTGACTGTTGCTAATTAATAAAAATATTAACGTTGCCAATTAGTAAAAGAATATTAACATTGTAAAACGTTCAAACACCAACGTTTAACTTTTGCAATATTACAACAGTCATTAGCTTGTTAAGATGAAGATAACACATGATTGAAGTTTACATAGTTAAGATAAGGGTAATATATGAATAAAAAATGAGTTATTCGGCTCTATTCATTGGACAAACAAAGAAATAAAACTTTTTTCTACTCATAATACATCCAAATAATAGGACTGAAGTTTATTTCTATTTTTTCACCCACTCCATTCCATTCATCACTTTTCAACAATGCAAACATAGCCTTACTTCTGTCTTTTTATCTATTTTCAGTTGGTTTTGAGTGTTTTAGTAGTTTGCATTCACTTCATGCTGGAGGGAAAGGCTGAGACGATAGTTTGAAACAGAATTTGGGTTATCAAAATGAAGAGTTTAAGAGCAGAAACCTCAGATCAAAAGTTCACTAGATTAAGAGGTACCATATCCCTGGAATGATTTCCATGAGTGAAAAGAAAAGGTTTATCTCTATTGAAAAGTTCACTAGATACATCCTTTATTGGTACCTTATACCTTACCTATGGGTCATCATTTTTCAAGGAAATGGATGATTTACATTGCTTTCATGTAAATTCAGTTTTATGATAATAACTTACCACAAGTGCATAATAAAAAATATTGTTATAACTTATAATTGAGCCCCTTTCTTGCATGTTCTGCACCAACATTCCTTCTATTTGGAATGGAGACTAGGTCATGGTAGGTTTGCTGTTTCAAGTATTAGGTTGAACTGTTTAGTAAGTTGCTAAATCATTTACCTAGATTATGTAAAACTGAACTGCGTATGGCTTGAGGTTAGAGTGTATTTGACTCTGAAAAATGGATATGTAAAGGACTTCCCCCAGACATTCTTTTTTCTTTGCTTTCCATATCTTGGGCTGATATTAAATCAGCTTCCACTGTATTCTCTGACGACAAACTTGCTGCAATACCAACTGCGTGACATTTTGGCACTGTTGTGACTTGTGAGACACGGCTGTTAATAATATGAAAAAAAGGATTTTGAAATGAAATTCCCATGTCAGAATGGGAAGAACTTGCAGAGCATTTACTTGAGTTTTTATTTCTTGTTTTGACATTTTAATTACAAATTTTTCATCTTATTTTCAATCAAATACAGCACAACTCTTTTTTTTTTCAGTTTTTCCTGTACTTATTTTTTAAAAGAAGGATTTCATACAAGTTACAACTCTCTTACCAGCTTATCTCTATTATAGGAGCGCTTATCAAGACTAGAAGCTACCTTGAATAATAAAGAAGGTACGTGCTAAGGTACTCGAGACAACCATTAGTATATTCTGATTGACTGTCCTTGAGATTGTGGACCTAAATTACCTTTATATGAGATTTTGCTCAGATGCTAGAAATGAGGAAAACACGAAAGTGATTAATGATCTTCAGTCAAAGCTGAAAGCTGCAAATGCAGAAATTATTTCGGAAAAAGAGAAGGTTGTACTCATCTATGGATTGTTTATATACATTACATTTTGAAAATGGTTCAATATCATACCTCATTACTAATAATTTTAATTTGCAGATTCGAACGCTTACAGAAGAAAATGCAAAACTTCAATACCGATTAATTCATCTCGCGAGATCACTCAAGGAAGCTAATTTAAAGTTAGAGCAAGTGAGTATCGCTGATGTTTCTTTCAATGGTTTTGATTAATTAATAAATGCGCATTATTTCAACGAGTGTGGCTTTAGAAGTTTGTAC